ACATTGAGAATTTAGATATAGTTAGATAGATTTAGAGTTTTGATGATTCAACTATGATGAAGAGAACTCTGAACGTGAGTCAAGCTATAAGCTTGTTTTTTTACATGGAGGAGGAGCCTGTGATGTTGCCCTCTGCTTTGAAGCGTGGCACAGATAAAGACAGAAAAAACAGATTTTTGTACATAATATATATATATATATTTGTATTATATTTATAATAACACTTTTGCCTTATCAGAATGAAATCCCATGTACATTATTTAAGCTTTTAAATGTTTTGTTGTGCCTACTGTGTCACTGTTGACAGAACTTGAGAAATGAGGGGAAAAAAGCCTATGGATACACCTGTTATTTGTTCATAGAAATTGTATATCATGCTACCTCAATCAAACTTTCACATTATCATAGGGACATCCCATGCATCTATTTCCAGCTTTCAAATGGTTTCGTTGTGTATGTTTGTGTTACCTATATGAAAGATAATATCATTTTCAAAATCTGTTTTTTTGTGATTTTGGGTCCAAAATGTTCATATAGTATCTCAAAATGAAAGAAATAACTATCAGGTTATATAGGTGAGGTTGTCCTTAAAAAAAAGATACCAAACATTGACATGCCAAACATTTCTTAATGGGGTTTAGTAAGACAAATCAAAAGTATGCGAAAACGGCCAAATTAGCCCAGGACTCCAAAGGGTTAATGGACCAAAAGCCACCATGTATCACCACATCAAGGTATTGAATTGAATCAAACAATCAGACATTTATATATATGTTTTCAATATCTCTCAGAGGTGCTTGAAGCTTCCTGTGCTGAATAAACCCAAAAGGAAGCTCAACAGGAAAACACAAGAATCTGAAATCCCTCCGTCAGCTCCGGTGTTCCTCTCTTTGACAGGAACACACAAATTGACACACAGCCCGCTCTCGTTCCCTCCCTGTCACCTCCAATCTTCTTCAGTCTGACTGGATGCTGAGTTCTATTGAGGTCAGCCTTAAACCAAAAAAAATAAAAAAGAGCGGGTGATGGAGAGGAATAGACTTACTGGTGATGACGCTTCCGGAGAGGGAGGCCAGGAACCCCACGCTGACCAGCACCAGGGTGATGAGGCGCCCCCTCTTGTGGCGCTGCAGCATGACCAACATGAGCAGCCCCACTGCCCCGTGGACGAAGAGCGAGGAGAAGAGACACCACAGGAACACCCAGTACCACATCTCTGATGGGGGGGGGGGACAAAACAGACTCAATAAACACAGAATCAGAACCTATTCAACTTTTTAGCAAGAATCCATTAACTATACACATTGGAGATTCAGAAATGTTTAGTAATCAAAGTCCATTTACTCTATCTACTGTAATAAAGAAACATTTTGAGACATTTTTTTTTACTTCTTCTGCAACTCTATTAAGAGTGACACATTTTACTGTTTACTCCTACAGTTTAGGATTGACCGATTAAAAGAAGTCAAAGCAACATTGTGGTATAATAAACACCATTTTGAAATAGCAATGGCTGTGAAAAAAAGGAAATATTTGTCATTTCTACAGTTGCGGAAATAGTACTGTAATTTATATGTATTTGTTCATACATTAATGTTTAAACCAGGCCTGGCATGTTTTAGTTGTTCTTTCAAAAATGTTTTTCAAGGCTTCAAGTTACAAGTTAGAATATTCTACTGTGATGGAAGGTTTTACCAATTCAATACAAAAATACATTTATGCTATTTATTGTAATTCTTCTTCATCTAATTTAATCTTAATACAAAAGCCGGGCCTCCATGACGGAGCAATTAAAATGTTGATTTAATTCAATGTTATGTTGGTCATACTGTATAGATTGTAGTGAAAACAAATGATAAAGTCTTGAAAAAATACATTGCAAACTCAACCGAAATCTAAATAATAGTACATTAAAAAAAGCCACAATTAGATTCATTTCACAATTCAGTAAGCCCTGCCAAAGGTAAAATCAGACTAATCAATGGAGTGATTAAAACAAATAGGAGTAATATAGGAGTTTGCACAGCTAAGCCCACACTATTGGCCAAAATTCATGATACCATAGCCTCTGCTGCATAGATTTTCACCTTCATTTAATCTGTGCTCACAAGTCCCCCAACGTTAAAGTAAGTACAAAACTAAATAACTGCAGAGCCCCTGTCAGCAAAGAAAAAAGTGATTATTCCCAAGGATTTCCATCACACTTTCATACTCTCCCCTGGATAGGCACAGATGAAATAGGCGCTTTCACACCGGAGTACTTTTCCCGTACTTTTCCCAGAAATAGTTCCGATAGTTCCTGGGATGTTGCGTTCACACGAAAAATATCTTTTTTTTTGGGAACCTTTTTACCCCTTTTTTAGTCCCTGCTAGAGAGCAGGGACTTTCCTGGAGAGAATAAGGTTCCAATTTCCGATTGGCTGGGCGAATTGCAAACCACGCCCCGTAAAACTCAGAAAAGTTGTTGTGAAGCCGCCATTTTATTTCCTTGCATTAGCATAATTAGCATTAGCCCAGCACACCAATGGAGAGAGACTAACTTATGGCAACACAAATTAAAACGTGGGATCGGTGGAGTGATGAGGAGGTGTCGGCGCTTCTGGCGGCGATTTACTGCCACCCAAAGTCCCGGACTCCAGGGGGCTCCGGGACTTCGGGTGGCAGTATTCGCCATGAAGTTGTTTGCGGCCTGCCAGTAAGCCCAAAGCAGAAGAAGAAGAAGTAGTGACGTCAGCGGCTTCATTTGCGTAATCCTTCCTCAAGGACTTATTCCGGTGTGAATCCGATTTACTAGATAGTTCCGGGGAAATAAAAGTTCCGGGGAAAAGTTCCGGGAATTATTCCTGGGAAAAGTACTTGGTGTGAAAGCGCCTATAGTTCCTGTCATGCAAATTCAGAGACATCATTTCTCAGAAAGAATGTTTTTCTGCAACCTGGGACACTAGGCAAAACAGACCTTGTTTGAGAGCATACTGCAACTACAGATCAGCATGCAGAGATACTATCTGAGCTGCACACGTCTGAGAGAGAGGATTTCAATCTACAGCCACCACAACATAAGTCAGGGCTCATCGAGGAGGCAGCCGACCATGGTAATGGGACTGAGGTTTTGATGCCTCTGAGTGAGACTTTACACGAGCTGTGGCGAGGAGGACATTAGGCAGTAAATGAAAAGTCCTGTCTGAAACAATAGCTTACTGCACCTTGTGGAGTCAAATTCAACATTTGCATTGCTCGTAAAGTGACGAAACTATACATTCTGATTCTATTCAATTCACAAAATTCAAACAAATTGTCAAATTATTCTTAGAAAATGTACCACTGTGCTGTCTTTACAAGTTATTTGAAGAAAAAGGAAAGTGTCAGAGGTCATTGTGCTTATTTAGTATTTTGTGTCTCTACTGTGACATGTTTTAATGCTTTAACGATCAAAAAGGTCTTGATTTTTCCTCATACTGCCTGTGCTGCAGCACCTCTTTTCACCCTCTGTCTGAAACCACAGCCCAGTCTGCTCTGATTGGTTAGCTGCCCGGCTCTGTCGTTATGGGTCCACCGCTTAGAGATGTCCCGCCCCTTAGCCTATCATGTACCTAGTGTTGGAGTGCTAGCAACTAGAGTAGTAGTAGTGGAGACAGAAGTAAACAAATCCAATCAAGTTTAAGAAACGGGGGGTGTTGGTGAGAAACTCCCTCTAGCGTCAACTTTAGGATTTTAGCCTTTGCAGGTCATATACATGCACAAAAATCTACATAACAAACTTCTGGATAGGGAAAACGCAAAAAAACATAAACGGGCTCCTTTTAAATCATTCTTATCCTTTTCTTCCTCATCTCTTTCTTTCTTTCTTTCCGGGCCCTGGCCTTGTCGCACTTTGCCAGCGAGAGGCCTTGCTTTGAACCACTGGCACCGTGGGAGCAAGGAGAAGCCAGCTGGCCATGAGATTATTCTAGAAGAAAAGCAATTGACGGAAGAAGAAACAAATAACCGATCCAGGCCTGTTTTGTTTGGATGTTGAGTTGCAAACAGGAAATGTGACATTGTCGTGTGGTGTAAACGTCTGAAGACTCAATTCTATGGAAACTATTTCCCAAGCCTGAAGGGAGCTCTTTAACCTAGTTGTTCCACAGTTTACTGAGCGCCTACATCTAACTATTGATCCAGCAATCAGCTGTCGAGATGGATGGAGAGAGACGTGACAGCTCGGCAACACAACGGCTCTTTGTCCCGCACAACTGGCCCCGTCAGTCACATCGCCGCTGTCTCTCTTCAACCATCAGCCTTCATCCAGCAGGAGAGGAGGGAGACGTCTGTGACGGGACGGGGATATAACCGCCAGAGAGATGGATCTTTTCTATTCTGTTAATTATGCTTTTGCCCATCCTTCCTTCTCCATCCTCAGACCCGTGACCCAGAAATCAATCAAGTTCCAACATCATTAATGTTGTCCATCCAATCGTTTGAATGTGTCCCATAGGAGACAAGAGAGGAGGCTACAGGATGGCCTATGCTATCCTAAACTAAGACGAATGCTGCAACTAATGATGGTTTTTATTATCAGTTAGCAATTATTTTTCTAGTTTCAAACAATTGATCTACAAATGTATTTAAAACCATTGAATGGAGGCCTTTCCTTTAGGTTAGGTCCTGGTATGGTTGTTGCTGGCACCAAAGCTAAGAAAACATTCAGAACAATTTAAAGGAGGAGTTATACATGCTTGTCTCAGGTTTAAAAAACTCCTAGAAAAAATATCACACAAGTCCCTTTAGCCCAATGGAAAGTACCCAGAGACACCCCGCCCTGCTCCATTAGGATCCCTCATCAGGTCCCAGTCACACAGGCCGAGCATCTGTCGTCCAACTTAAAGAGCAACTTCCAGGTTAAAGACACCTGTGAATAAATGTGTAGGAAAATGATGAATACACTAGATTTTCAAAAAAATATACAGAAATATACACTACAGTGACATCTGGCGTCGTTTTTGTGAGAAATGTTCACTTCCGCATAAAAAAGCCTCGGCACGTGACCTCCCGCGTGTGACGTAACACGGGGGACACAAGGGGGAGAGCGGCCGGTGTAATGTATTAATAAACATGGATCCCAATGCTAGTTTCGACACAGGAGACACAGAAGAAGTTGAACATGAATATTCGAATGCATATGACGGACCACAACCTTATAATTATGAGCCTGCTAGGCATCCAAGAGACCAGGAGCAGCCAAGGATTAGAAGAAATAACGGCCATCGGAGAGAAATGGAGCTGTGGTGTGAGGAGGTTGAACCAGTGGAGAACTGGGCAGCTATCTTGGTGAGTGACCGGCGTTAGCTACAGAATGTTAGCTAACGTCACATCACAACATTGTAAAGTTAGCTATCATATATCAGGCTATAACTAAAGTAGCATTGATAATATAGTAACGTTACTGGCAGGACTGTTGATACTGATCCATAACAGAAACTAATGCGCAAGTATCAGCCGTATCTCGCGTTACCTAATGCAACTCCACACTACGGTGCAATGTACCGGAGGAGAGACGCGAGATACGGCTGATACTTGACGATCTGGCGGAGAAAGGTTGTGGAGCCTCCGTTGATATGCCGTTGTAAATGGCTTGATGGAAAGCAGGTGTGTAGTCGGGG